TTATTATTTCTATACGTTTTGGCTGTCAAACTTCCATAATGCCCCTTTAAATTCCACTTTCAAGGTTTTCCTTTAGGCAGATTTTGATAAATCCTGTCTGAGCTCAGAGATGTAAAACTCACCAGAGCTGCTCTTAACTCCAGCTTCACTTTGATGAGCTCCACAGAGCTCCAGTTCTGTTCATCTAGGTTGAATTTCTCAGTCATTATTTTAGCCATAAAAAGAAAAAGTCATTGTTCCTGTGATTAATCATTTGTAACTTTCTCTAGAGTGCTGTTTTAAGGAAGTTTCACTGCACAGATGTGGTTAAAATCTCTTCACTTACACCCTGGAAATTAATAAATGCCTTAATTATCACATCATGAAATGAAATAAAGCACCAAAGCAGCAATTTTTGCAACTATTTATATTCGTGTCATTCTCCAAACATCAATTTATGTTATAAAGGACGACAGAAAATGCCCAGCCCCCTCTCCTTACAAGCCGTGCACCTGCAAAGCACAGGGCAGCATCCCCCCCCCCCCCTACTGACCAGACTCATTAATGATAGCGATGTAAGAAAATATCGATATGGCAATATATTGTGATATTTTTTCCAGTGATATTGTATCGATATTCAAAAGCTTTGTATCTAGTTTTTGGAAGAATTTACATGTAAACTTTGTGTATTTTATTTTCTTTTGGTGCAATTCAAACACCGACCACTAGTTGGCAGCAGTGTGCATTGGGGTTATTTTCAGATACTTCATGTTAAACATGTTAAGTATCAGTTTGGACTGTTCATTGAATTTTCCTACAATAAATTCAGTCAAAAAAAATGGCTAACTGACTGAATGTATTGCAATGTATTGTGATATGTTGTATTGTCTCCCCTGTATCGTGATATGTATCGTATTGCCAAAATTTCACCAAAACACATCCCTAATTAATGATAGGTCTTTTTATTTTATTTTTGAGTTCTGATGCCAATTTTAGCAAGATTCTTCCCAGGGCTGTGAGCCGTACATAAAACACACACACAACAGGTACAGAGCATCCTACTCGTAGCACTTTTTACTTTTCATAAAATACATTTCAGCAGCCAGCCCTTGAGAGCAGAGTTGGGATCCTTCCTCTCCTCCTCCCTGTCCTTCAAAGGTGTGGTAAAACGTGTGTGAAATGTTGCAATCTTGAAATTTAGAGGTAAATAAAACCTACATTGTTGACTTCTGTCTAGAACTGAACATAAAAAAGAAATCCGCGCCACACTTGGAAAATCCTGACATACAGAAAGAAAGAGTGAATGGATATTTATTATGTGATCATGAATTTTTTTTTTTTATCTATTGAAGGATTTTAATATTTTTCAAAAGAATCTATGAAAACTGAAACGGCCTCATCCTGTTGATGAGTTTATTATCAGATCAAGACAGGAGGACACAGCTTCTGGAACAGACTCAGAAACATGTCACCAGCTACATGTCTGCTTGTGCATCATTTGGGTCAAAGGTGAGAGTGTGTTTTCCAGCATGCATCCCTCCCGGTGTGGTTGATTTTGTGTAATGCAGCAAGCCTCGGAGCTGATGTTGCCAGGTTGTGTAAAGAAATTAAAGCAACAAATTATGTTTAAAAGCTTCTCCCTCAGGCCAGGAAAAAACCACGATCCATTATTCATGGCTTTTACTGCCGGGAATCTAAAAGCAGGTGGGGTTTTGTGTGTGTGCGTGTGTGTGTCAGCTGTGTTTTTGCCATTTATTTAAAGATTAACCACCCTGGACATCATTATTTTATCTCAATGATAGAATTAACGACTAGTAATGTGTTGTTTCAGCCACAAAAGATGCTGTTAAACCTCGTTTTTTTTATTTGCAGCAGATGAATGAAGATGCTCACTCTGCAGATCGTCTTTAAAGCAGTTGTATGTAAACAGGAACAGCAGCGCGTATGAATAAAACCTCACCACAAACCCTAACCCTAATTATTTATAACGGTAAAACGGTTGCAGCATTTCTCAGCTCTGGCTTTAATTTGCCTCAATCCTAAAGACAAATCTGCTGTAAAGCAACTTTATTGAACTTCACCATGACAAATCTGACCATTACAATAAGAAAAAACGTAATACAAGTCTTAACTTTTTAAAATGTATTGATTTTAGCACCAAAACTTAACAAAGGAATTAAGAATGAACGTAATATATTTTGAATTCAATTAAACAGAAAGAATTTTTAGCAATAATTTATTATCTAGATTATTGTTTTACTAATTGTATTGTTTAATCCTTCGTTCTGATCATTCTCTAAGGCAGTGGTTCCCAAACTTTTCAGCTTCAGAACCACAAAATAGCAACTGTCAGGACATGTGACGCCAGATGTCTCAGTTTTAACAACACAAACATGCTTACAAAGCTAAATAAGTCAGGGCGTAATGAAAACCGCTTTAGCTGCTGTTCACTTATATCCATTTATGACAATTTAGTTGAGTTTTTGTAACAATTATGCAAGAAATATAGCGTCAGCAGTTGTTTTTCAATTCTACTTAAATTTCTGGAAATCATCTCAAGACCGCCTGTGTAGTTCTTAGTGACCCCTAGTGAGGTCCAGACCCAACTTTGGTGCTGCTGCGCTGATGGATTATCTTTACAGATTTATTCTGCTTTATTTTTAATTTTGTTCCATTTAAACATTTCAATGTCAGACAAAGATAACCTGGATTAATAAGAAATACAAATTTCAAATGATTTGATTTGTCAAAAGTAAGAATCTATCTAAAACAACTTGGTCTAATGCGAATAAAATCAATGTTAATTCATTAATTAGAAAGCTGAGTTCAGTCTTTGCAATCAGACCCAGACTGTCACGATTCGGTGTTGGTAGGACCCAAAATGCAGGAACCCAAGATGACACGAGGCAGGAGATGTGTAAAGTAAAATCCTTTTATTAGGATGAGTGAAACAAAAATGTATCCTAATGGGCTGGAGCCAAAAAACCAATAAATCCAAAGAGCTGAGCAGGAGATCAAAACAGTAGCGACAACACGAGCAGACTGACAGAATTACCACAATGGACCGACACAAGACAAAGACAAGACAGGGCTTAAATAACAGGGAGGAGTAATTAAGGGAACAGGAAGCAGGTGTGTGGAGTGAGAGCTGGAGGGAAGACAGGTGACAACAATTATCTAAATGGGGAAGCAGAACCAATGGAGGGCAGATAAACACAAAACTGAACTAAAAGACTGAGGGAAGACTCACACACACAATCACACCCAAATACACTCACACACACTGAGTTGGGGAATGGACACACACACACACACACACACACACACACACACACACACACTCACGCACACCCACACACACACACTGAGTTGGGGAATGAACGCGCACACACACACACACACACACACACACACACACACACACACACACACACACACACACACACACACACACACACACACACACACAAACACTCACACAAACACACTGAGTTGGGGAATGGACGCGCGCACACACACACAAACACACACACACACACACACACACTGAGTTGGGGAACGGACACGCACACACCCACACAGACACAGAGCTGGGGACAAAGAGGCTGGAGCTACAACTGGAGGGGATGGGGATGATCGAATGCCTACAAACAGAAAACACATAAATGAGACGCAGACAAAGGACACATGAGGGCGCTATGAGACACAAAAGGGAATCTAGAGAGGGCTGGAGGACACCAGGAGGCACATGAAGGAAGGGGCAGACGCAGACCATGACACAGACCTGATCACTGCTAGACCAGGAGAATGAATCACGCCACTAGAACCTTTCCGACAACATGAAGCAGGCTTAAAGATCTCAATAAGCAACACATCACACAGAAAGTAAAGATAAATGAACCCAGAGAAACATGCAAAGCACTGTGGACCTCACATGGTTATGGTTAAGGTCAAAGGTCATGAGCTAATTTTCAACTGTATTCCTGAGCAAGATGTATTTCGCCAAACACATCAAAAATATATTCAATAAACAAAAAATGAAAGTCGAGGTTTCTTGAAAGCATGTGTGTCTCGTTACATCTGGTCTAAAAGTAACCTCATCATACTAACATTCAAGCATGGTGGTGGTAGTGTGATGGCCTGGGACTGCTTCAGGATGGACAATCTTCTGTAATTGATGAAATCATGAATTCTGCCCTCTAGCATAAAATCTTGAAGGAGAAAGTCAGAACTTTGACCTGAACCTGGTTCTTCATGCTGGGAAACTATGGAAGAAATACGGCCTCATCAGAGCATGACATTTTTTTTGACGTTTAAATTATGACACAGAATTTTTATTCTGTGAAATTATGCATTGGTAACACTTTACCATAAGGTACGCAAAATTGTGCTTGAGGCATCCTGCTGGTGACCCTAGCCAAAGAAACCATCACTCCGTTGAGTTTAGTGGCTTTTAGCCAATCAAATTCTGCCTCTCTGATCACGCAACTCCAGTGAGGCGTCAACTCGTTCGAGTGACGATTGCTTTTGCTTAGGTCACCAGTCGTTGTTGAATCTTTGCTGTCGAATTTTTGCAGCTGAAACTGTTTTTTTAATTTTTGAAGATGAAATTCTGCAGTTGAATTTTCCCAGATGAAATTTTTGCTTCAGTATTTTTGAGTTACAAAAACATCTATTGCATAATTTTGCTGAATAACACTGTAGTAATTTCAATGTCTATCAAAAGTCTGGCGAGACTATTTCTTCCACAGAAAACCCTCAAATGAGGTGGACATGATTCTGTAGAGACTCAGTATAAGTTCATCACAAACACTGGTTACTTACAACTAGTCATTGAGATTAGAGTAAGCCACTTTTTCTCATAGAAGTTGTTTGGAATGCTCTGACCCCTTCAACAGTCAAAAACATCTAAAAGACCCACTGTTGAGCCAACACTCAGCAGAAAGCATAGAAAAGCAACTGAATCTAAAAAAAAAAAGCTAAACCGGTGCGGCAGACACACTCGAAAAGAACGCAAAGCATTTATTTAGAGTCTTTTATTGATTGAATCCTTGTTAACAACAGAGAAAAGCCTCGCTCTGACATGACGTGCCACATCCATCCATCTTCTGCTCCAGCTGCAACATGTTCACACCATTTCTCATGTCCACTCCAGCCCAAACTCCTTTTCCCCCCATTTTCTTCCCTTTCCCGCCTTCGTTCAATCAGAGGTCGTCTGAGTGGAACGCTAAGACAACAAAACATAAAAAATAGATAATATGCTCAATATAAATGATCTCACACGTAATAAATTCATGTAATACATAATTGAAATGACTAATTGAATTCTATTATTATCATCACAGCACCAAGATGTGTGATTTAGGGATGTTAATGAGCATTAGTTCATTACTCTAGTAATTATCTGATGGTAATTAACTGTGAGTTGGTGATTTCTTACACGCGAGGGTTTCGGTTAGGTGGTGAATACCTTCCTCTTCCTCATCTGGTGCCACCAGACTGGTAGCAAACGTCCAAATCATCTCCAGCCAATCAGAGCTCTCTGAAGGAGTGATGTCACCATGGATTCCAGCAAGACTTGATTTGACAATTGGGCGGACTCCAGCTAAAAGAAAAAAAAAAAACATTAAGAATGCAGCACGGTTCCTTCCCTTGGAGGCAGTGAGCACTTTGGTCTATTTGCTTAAGTAATGTATTAGTTTTTCTCAGTAATAAAGAAATAAAATGGTCTCTTTCCACCTGTAGATCCTCCACCAGTGGAAATCCAGGAGGAGATTAGAGTAGAGCTGTCTCTTGCACCTGATAGGCGGTGCTATGCTATGTTTTACCTGTTTGTGACATCACAAATGGGGACTTTTTGAATTACTTTTTTTAAATTCCAAATACCAAACATTGCAGAAAACGGATGGATGGGTTTTCTTCATGTATGGAGTGTTTGCAGCACATGGCAGCACAAAAAGACGCAAAGGTGCATGCTAAGTCTAATTTATCTAAAGAACAATCTTGTCAAGATATCATATTATATTACATAAAAAATGGCTTGTAAGAGAAAAATATAGTAGATTAATTTATTTTTGTGCGTGTTTGTTCATAAATGGTTAATAATGTGTTTGCTGTGCTCATGAGACTCATGCAAATATTGGTAAATAAGTGGAAAATGTATTTTGATGTTGTTTTTTTAAATTATAATAAATTTGCTTCTTTTTACAATAACTGAACTTAATTCTTTACGAAATAAATACATTTTCTTACAGTTTTGTTCTACTAACAGTTTATTTCAATTGAGATAAAAGCTTTAAATACAGCTGCATCTTTTCATTATGGTATTTAAGCGATGCAAAAGTCCCTTTTAAGGTTTCTTAGAATTTAATTCTGTGTTTTCAGCCCTCAAAGCTGTGAACTCACGCTGATTTATACATTCCAATCCACATTCAGCAGTCTGTGATATTTTCATCTCAGCTGTTGAGCTGAAGGACCTTGATTTGGATCATTTTAATACTTAAGGTATCTGAAGGATGCCTGAGAAGGAAGTGTTGGAGGATATTAGACAATATGAGTGTTTTATTAGTATGTCCCAGCTTACCGCGAGCCTTCAAACCTCTCTTAGCGATGGCAGGAGGAGGAGGGAGACCTGAGCGGGAGAGACACACAACACACCGGCTTTAAAGACAGACAGCATGGCGTGAAGAGGCCGAAACTGGAAGAGGAAAATTTGGACGATCCATCACTGCAACTTATACAGACAGATATTTTCAGTTTTCTCATGTTAATTCCAAATATGTTCAAATTTCATGCATGTTAGGATGTTGCAGAAGGAAAACACAAACTAGCACAAAAACACTTCAATCATCAAACGTTTTTACATGCTCCTCTACCTCCGACCATGTCTGCACAGATTTAAAACAACCTCTCACGGATCGGTTAATCACAACATTTATTAAACATAGATGATTAATAGATGGGCCATAAGCAACAAGCTAGCACCACTTTTATTAGAGACACAAATCACAGAGAAACAAATCATTTCCTAAAGTGGTCTGGATTTGCCATCAGCCAGCTGTAAAACAGTTTTTTATAGAGAAATTATTGTTTCTGCTTCATTAATCTTAGTCTTTCATCCAGCTAGAGGAACGTTCAGATGGATTATTTGGCTTCCAGGGAAACAGTTTCAGAAGATGTAGAACAAATGACTAATCAGCATGAAAAAGTCTCACTTTTTAGTCCTAAACACAAATTGTTCAGGGCTTCAGTGACATTTATAATGATACACAACTAATTGCATATTACTACAAGCACTAATAGATCTTATTAGGCTGTTTATTTATTCCAGGATCATAAAGAGACACAGGTTAAAGAACTAGAATTTGTTGTATGATATTAAAAACTATCAGTTAATATTTGATCACTACGTTGTTAACCCTTACCCAACGTTTAAATTTTCTAACGTTAAAGTCATTCGAGCACAAAAAAATGCACTTACAAAGCTTCCCATAGAAATATTATATAATATTTCATAAGTCCCAATTTTTTTACATGAATTTCATCCTTGGCTTCAGCCCTAACAAAATTTAATAAAATATGTGTGTGTTTCTCAGATTTAACCCCTTCATTGCCAGGTTTATTATCAAAACCAGAAGTTTGAAAACTGTACAAAAAACTGAAAAAAAAATCAAATCATTGTTTGTGTGTTATGTCCAGATGACCTTTTTTGTGGGTAAGTTGTCACAGCCTTGGAGTGTCACAAATAGGCATAAAAATATTTTTAGCTCACTTTGTAGTTTTTGTGTGATGTCATATTTTCTAAAATACTCACGTTAAAGTCATTAGAGCACAAAAAAATGCACTTACAAAGCTTCCTATAGAAATATTATATAATATTTCATAAGTCCCAATTTTTTTACATGAATTTCATCCTTGACTTCAGCCCTAACAAAATTTAATAAAATATGTGTGTGTTCGTCAGATTTAACCCCTTTATTGCCAGGTTTATTAGCAAAACCAGAAGTTTGAAAACTGTACAAAAAATGAAAAAATCTAATCATTTTTTGTGTGTTATGTCCAGATGAGCTTTTTTGTGGGTAAGTTGTCACAGCCTTGGAGTGTCACAAATAGGCATAAAAATATTTTTAGCTCACTTTGTAGTTTTTGTGTAATGTCATTTTTTAAACTACTAACGTTAAAGTCATTCGAGCACAAAAAATGCACTTAGAAAGCTTCCCATATAAATATTATATAATATTTAATAAGTTCCAATTTTTTTACATGAATTTCATCCTTGACTTCAGCCCTAACAAAATTTAATAAAATATGTGTGTGTTTGTCAGATTTAACCCCTCCATTGCCAGGTTTATTAGCAAAACCCGAAGTTTGAAAACTGTACAAAAAATGAAAAAATCAAATAATTTTTTGTGTGTTATGTCCAGATTAACTTTTTTGTGGGTAAGTTGTCACAGCCTTGGAGTGTCACAAATAGGCATAAAAATATTTTTTGCTCACTTTGTAGTTTTTGTGTGATGTCATATTTTCTAAAATAGTCACGTTAAAGTCATTAGAGCACAAAAAAATGCACTTACAAAGCTTCATATAGAAATATTATAATATTTCATAAGTCCCAATTTTATTATTGTAAACTTAGTAAAAAAAGTTAGTTTTTTTTTTTAGAATTTTCAGTAATGCTTCCTTATACAGTCCCCTAATTACTAAGTACTTACATGGTTATTACATAGTAGGTTAAAGTGTATTAATGTTTCTGAGTTCTTAAACAGTTTTTACCATGTAAGTCAGGTTCAATTCCAGTTTTTATTTTTGTTAATCGTTCCCAGTAGATACTGCTTTACACAATAATTTCATTACAATTATACACTTTATTTACACAATGATACACTTTAACTTACTATGTAATTACCATGTAAGTACTTAGTAATTAGGGTACGGGGAAAAAGTAAGCATAACCGAATGTTTTCTCATTAAAAACACGCTTAAAGCAACAGTTTTTGCATATTTAGTAAAATATTTCTGCAGATTTCTTTCAGCAACCTTAGTTTGGAGAAACAGAGATTAGCTGTGATTTGATCAGTGAGCTTACAGCTAGTTTTAGTGGGGCTAAGACCACAGGGAATAACTGCTGCCAACAAAACTTTCAATCAAAACGTACTTTACATTCACGATTTCGACTTATTTGGGTAAAACTGTGTCTTAATGAGGTCGAGTGTGCACTCGTTCCAAAAAACAGTTTAAATTTGGACTTTTTTGATATTTAATCTCAACGCTTCCTTTTCTTTCCATCCAGTGTGGCACTAATTAGCAGAATAAATTATTAAATGCAGCTGAAACGACAAAAGAAAATGTTGCTGTAACTATCATCCATCATAATGAAATGTTGGTGCGCGGGTGTAAAATAATAAGTGTGTAGTTTATTGTTACAGTCCAGTTGTTCAGTCGTTTTTCTCTCTGAGGATGACGAATATGGCAGATTCATCACTTCTGTGTGTGTGTGTGTGTGTGTGCGCGCCTTTGATGCCTCTAAAGTGCTAAATGCATTGTTTTGATTTCCTCTGTGGATCTCTTTAATTTTCCCTCTGCCAGATGGAAGATGCGTTCTGCCTGTTTTTGTCCCGGTGTGGAGGACTTGCACCAGCTAATGGAGCCTCATAAACAACTGATTAATAAACATTTCTTCGATTGACACCCCACACTCTGCCAGGTAATAGAAAGGCTAGCGCTTCCTCTCGGTAATTATCTTTGCTCGGGGTATTGTTGCTCACTTATCCAGTCTCTTTCTGCCCCTTTGAATCTGTCCTATCTGTCGGTTTTCCTTTCATCTTCTTGTCCTCGCCTTTCGTGTATTTTCATGCCTTTTGTTGGTTTTTCCCAACCTGTCTGTTTTTTTCTTTGTTGTTGTGGGTTTATAAGAGACCTCTAAACCTTAGAAAATATGAGAATATACATGTGAACAAACAAAAAACCATGGAAATAAGTTTATAAGAAGGAGCATAAATGGAAGTAGATAAAAAGACAGATCTAGGTGAGATTACAAATGTCTGTTTAATTGTCTTTTACACAAACTGATCATATCAACAACAACAAATCATATTTATGACCCTCACATTGCCCCTTTAAATAAATAAAATAACATGTCTGGAATTATTATTTGGGCATTTAATCAAAATCCGCCGCTGGTTCAACAACAACTCAAAAGGTGTGAAGAGCAAATGCGATTAAAATCATCTTTTTATTTATCTGTACTCCAAATCTGTTGGTTTTTATTGCCTCGGGGCAAAATGGTGCCCTCATTCACTTTGTTAGGCATGAACATGCTTACAGATGGGATGGGATGTACATTTTCACAGTAATCAATGTTTTGCTATCAGCTGACAGTAGATCGATGCAAGGGCGTTTTATTGGTGAAAGGACGACGTTCAAGATGTTTCCTTCTTTTCTTCTGTAGAGCAGCGGGACAGTGAGGACTCGATATTCCACATGTTTATTTTTCAAAAAACAATGCTTCCTCCACTAAAACGCAAGATGAATAACCTTTACAGATTTATTTTACTGGATTAGAAAGAAATGACCGAGGAGTCGACTCATCTTTGGGATGTTTAATTTTTTTTAAATATCTGCTAAATACCAGGACACAGATGGATTTGTTTGATAACTGGTTTAAAGATTAAAGCGGTTAGGGAGCGATCCAGAACCGAGCTTTGTTGTTTCTTTTCTTCAGTGATGATTTGCAGAACCAAAACACACACACACACACACA